AGGGCAGGGGGGGTCAGGTGGGAGTGGGGTGGAGCAGGCGGGGGCAGAGCAGGTGACTGAGACACCGCCCAGACAGGAGGGACCAGGGGGAGGCCAGGCACTCTGGGTCCTCTGCGTCCTCGCTGCCCAGCCTGCACTGGGAGGGGGTGCTGCGGTGAGTCCAGGAGAGGTGCACAGAAGCGGCTAGCCGGCCAGGAAAGGAGGGTGGAACGCAGCCCGGGAAGAGAAGGTGCGCTGGACGGACTGTAGAGAGACAGCAGAAGCAGAAAGGGTTCACACATCATGGTGGGGCAGGAAGCGGGGTGCGCACGGGGTGGGGGTGGGAGGCGGGGTGCGCACGGGGTGGGAGGCCGTGCGCACGGGGTGGGGGTGGGAGATGAGGTGCGCACGGGGTGGGGGTGGGAGGTGAGGTGCGCACGGGGTGGGGGTGGGAGGCAGTGCGCACGGGGTGGGGGTGGGAGGCGGGGTACGCACGGGGTGGGGTGCGCACGGGGTGGGGGTGGGAGGCGGGGTGCGCACGGGGTGGGAGGCGGTGCGCACGGGGTGGGGTTGGGAGGTGAGGTGCGCACGGGGTGGGGGTGGGAGGTGAGGTGCGCACGGGGTGGGGTGGGGTGGGCACGGGGTGGGGTGGGGTGGGCACGGGGTGGGGTGCGCACGGGGTGGGGGTGGGAGGCGGGGTGCGCACGGGGTGGGAGGCGGTGCGCACGGGGTGGGGTGGGGTGGGCACGGGGTGGGGGTGGGAGGCGGGGTGCGCACGGGGTGGGAGGCCGTGCGCACGGGGTGGGGTTGGGAGGTGAGGTGCGCACGGGGTGGGGGTGGGAGGTGAGGTGCGCACGGGGTGGGGTGGGGTGGGCACGGGGTGGGGTGGGGTGGGCACGGGGTGGGGTGCGCACGGGGTGGGGGTGGGAGGCGGGGTGCGCACGGGGTGGGAGGCGGTGCGCACGGGGTGGGGTGGGGTGGGCACGGGGTGGGGGTGGGAGGCGGGGTGCGCACGGGGTGGGGTGCGCACGGGGTGGGAGGCGGTGCGCACGGGGTGGGGGTGGGAGGCAGGGTGCGCACGGGGTGGGAGGCGGTGCGCACGGGGTGGGAGGCGGTGCGCACGGGGTGGGGGTGGGAGGCGGGGTGCGCACGGGGTGGGAGGCCGTGCGCACGGGGTGGGGGTGGGAGATGAGGTGCGCACGGGGTGGGGGTGGGAGGTGAGGTGCGCACGGGGTGGGGGTGGGAGGCAGTGCGCACGGGGTGGGGGTGGGAGGCGGGGTACGCACGGGGTGGGGTGCGCACGGGGTGGGGGTGGGAGGCGGGGTGCGCACGGGGTGGGAGGCGGTGCGCACGGGGTGGGGTTGGGAGGTGAGGTGCGCACGGGGTGGGGGTGGGAGGTGAGGTGCGCACGGGGTGGGGTGGGGTGGGCACGGGGTGGGGTGGGGTGGGCACGGGGTGGGGTGCGCACGGGGTGGGGGTGGGAGGCGGGGTGCGCACGGGGTGGGAGGCGGTGCGCACGGGGTGGGGTGGGGTGGGCACGGGGTGGGGGTGGGAGGCGGGGTGCGCACGGGGTGGGGTGCGCACGGGGTGGGAGGCGGTGCGCACGGGGTGGGGGTGGGAGGCAGGGTGCGCACGGGGTGGGAGGCGGTGCGCACGGGGTGGGAGGCGGTGCGCACGGGGTGGGGGTGGGAGGCGGGGTGCGCACGGGGTGGGAGGCGGTGCGCACGGGGTGGGGGTGGGAGGCGGTGCGCACGGGGTGGGGGTGGGAGGCGGTGGGCACGGGGTATTGGGCGGTGGGCACGGGGTGGGGGGCGGTGGGCACGGGGTAGGACGTGGGGTGCGCATGGGGTGGGAGGCGGTGCAAACGAGGTTGGCAGAGAGGCAGGGACGGCCTGGATCCCGGCTCCCATCCTTGGGGCCCCTCCGGGTCCCCAGCGGAGAGCGGCGCGGACCCCGGGCCCGACGCGGCGCTGCTGCCCCCCTGTGGCCGCCTGGCTCGCGCCCCGCTGCGTCCTCCCTGCCCCGCGCCCCTCTCCCGCCTGCCCTGGCTGCGGACTTTGGGCACCGCTGTGAGGGAGAGTCTGCGCTGGGCCGGGTGGCGGCCGGGCGCCTGTGAGCGGAACTGGGGGACAACAGGGGCCTTGGACTGGGAGAGCAAGGCCCAGGAGCGGGGCTCAGGGCCGTGGGGCCAGGCGCCCACACCCGGCTCGCCAGGATCTCAGCGCAAAGGGAAGGCAGAGCTGCCTCAGCTGGGGCGTCTCGAAGAGGGGCCAGCGGGTGGTGGCTAACGCTGTGAACTGCAGAAGGGGGCTGGGCCCAGTGAGGGCCAGAAGCCCGCAGAGGCCGTGGGCAGCATTCAGAGGACATGTGGACACCGTGGCCTCTGGCTCTGCACTTGGCACGGTGGCCGCCAGGGCATGCAGGTGCTCTCTGTGGACAGTCTGGGACAGGCCACGCTGCCCACGGAGCAGGACACAGATCGTGTCCTTCAGGACAGCCAGAGCAGGCCCCAAACTTGAGTGTCTGCCTTGCTCGCTGGAGGCTCTGAATTGAAAGGAAAAGGTTTTTTCATCTTAATTGAGGTTGGGGGAAAACCCTTAGGTTTATCATTCGCATTCCTAAGATATGCATAATTAGCACACAATAAATGTAGCCATCATGATAAATTCTGATAAACATGATATACTGTGACAGACATTTATGCCCACATAACCAATACTATCATCAGAATGTCAAAAAGCCGCCCCAAGCAGGCCCCAGTGGCTCACTGAAATCTTGTAGTTTAAAGCCAGCCCCAGCAGGAAAGTCTGTGAGACTCTCCAATTAACCTCCAGAAAATTAGAAGAAGGCACTGTGGCTCAAGTTGGTAGAGCTAGCCTTGAGCAAAAGAAGCTCAGGGACAGTGCCCAAGCCCTGAGTTCAAGCCCTAGTCCTGGGGCTTTGAACACAAAACACAATTTTATTTCTTTTCTTCCTTTTTTTTTTTTTCTTGTCAGTTCTGGGGCTTGAACTCAAGGACTGGGCACTGCCCTTGAGCTTTTGCTCAAGGCTAGCACTCTACCACTTGAGCCACAGCACCACTTCCAGCTTTTTCTATGTGGTGCTGAGGAACTGAACCCAGGGCTTCATATGTGCAAGGTGAGCACTCTACCACTGAGCCACCTTCCCAGCCCCTCTTCCTTTTTTTTGGATGGGAGAGGCAATAGTAGAGTTTAAACTCAGGACCTCAACCTTGCAGGGTTTGATTTCGTAGCTGGTGCTCTACCAAGTGAGCCATACATCCAACCCAGGTTTTTGTTAGGTATTTTGAAGCTCTTTCTGCCTGGGCTGACTCCACTGCAGCCCTCTTGACCCCAGCCTCTGAGGAGCTGGGAATATAGGTGTGAGCCTCCAGAGCCCAGCACCCCCAGGGTTTATCCCTGCCAGAGAAAGGGAAGGAAGGAAAAAAGAAAAACATATACATAGGCATACTAGCCACATTGGAACCTTGGATTTTGAGCCCTCGTGATCATTAAGCAGATGCTGTACCACTTGGGCCATACCTCTGGCCCTAGTTATTTTTTAAATAGGATCTCCAGTTTATACTCTGGCTGGCCTGTTCACACTCCCCGTGTAGCTGGGAGGACAGGTGTGAAATTTTGCATCTGCTATTGGTTGAGATAGGGTCTCCAGAACGTTCTGCCAGGCCTTGAACCGGAGACCTTCCTATCTCCACCTCCTGGATTGCAGGCAAGCCCCACAGTGCCCGGTGAGCTGTGAAGTTCACGTGGCCCCTGGTCCTATGTCGGTTTACCATTTCTGTGCCATTTCCCTGTTCAACATGTCTGTACTACTGAAAAATACCTGATTCGTGGCGCTTTTGAAATTGGAGGCCTGGAGGGAAACTGAGGGGCCCACCGCTGGAGGGGACGACCCGGCAGGCCTTTCCCGGCCGCTGCTAGGCCAAGCAGACAGAAAGCCCGTGGAGGCGGTATCCGCGCGGTGCGGCGGGCAGGTTTATTCACAAGCGGGGCTGGGCCCCGAGTCAACGCAGAATAAATAAGGGATCCTCCCACGCTGGCGGGTCTGGGGGGCGCAGCGAGGCGCGGGGCGCAGCCGGGCGCGGCGAGGCGCTGGGTGGGGGCGCGGCGAGGCGCGGGGCGAGGCGGGGGGCGGGGGCGAGGCGCGGGGCGAGGCGGGGGGCGGGGGCGAGGCGCGGGGCGAGGCGCGGGGCGAGGCGCGCGGCGCGGCGAAGCGGGGGGCGCGGCGGGGCGAGGCGGGGGGCGGGGGCGAGGCGCGGGGCGAGGCGCGCGGCGCGGCGAAGCGGGGGGGCGGGGCGCGGCGGGGGGCGGGGCGCGCGGCGGGGGCGGGGCGGGGGGGGCAGGGAGGGGTGGGCCGGGCAGGGAGGGTTCCCAACCCTAACCCTAACCCTAACCCGGGCAGGACCTGGGCGGACCCTCCGAGGCACTGACCCCGGGCTCCACCCGCGGCCCACGGTCTCTCGACCACCAGCCGAGGCCCGTGAGGGTTCGGGCGCCGCCGCCTGGCGACAACACTGAGACCCCAGCGGCCAAGGGGCCCTGAGCCCGCAGATTCTCCGCGGCCCGGAAGAGCGAGAGCGGAGCCGGCCCGCCCGCGGAGGCGCCGGGAGGACTTTGGCAAGGGCGGCCAGGGGCACCGAGAAGCCCGTCTTGGGGCAATCGCGGCGCCGAGCGCCTCCCTCCTGCCCCGGGCGGCCACGCCCGCCCCGCCGGCCACGCCCGCCCCGCCGGCCACGCCCGCCGGGCTCCTGAAAACACCGCCGGGCGCCGCCCTCACAGTGGCCCAGAAGGGACCCGGTGGCGGGCGGAGGGGGGGGCTCCCCGCGCTGGAAGCCAAGCCCCACCCTTGGACAGCTGGCTCCAAGGCAGCTCTGCACGGCGTCTTCCCAGTTCAGGGCCCTGCAGCAGGTTCGTGGCCGAGGCGGGACTTGGAGGCGAGGGGCCCGCCGGAATCCCCTGCCGTCACCCGAGTCTCCCCTCTGCACGCTTGGGGGCTCCGGACCCGCCATGGGCCCCTGGGTGGCGCCGGGTTGGACGAGCCCCGGCCTCCTTTCCCGCTTCCGCCGCCAACCCAGAAGCCCGGGCTACAGCAGGTTCACGGCGGCCACCACCTGCTTGCAGCCGGTGACCGCGAACTCACGGCCGGCCACGCGGTAGTAGCTGAGCTGCGCGGCCAGGCGTTCGGCGCGGGCCCGGTCCGGGAAGAAGCCCTCCCCGGCCATCTCGTCCTGGAAGCAGCCGATCACGTCCTGCTTGTCCAGCAGCACGAAGGGCACGATGGCCGCGGTCTGCCACAGCGGGTGCTCCCGGGCCAGGAGCGCGCGGAGCCGGGCGCGCAGCTCCTCCTCGGCCCGCGCGGCGGCCGCGGCGTCCAGGCCCGGCGGCGAGCGGGAGGCGTTGTGCGGGGCGCGAGAGGCCTGGTGCAGCACGAACCGCGTGATCTCCGCCCCGCCGGTGCCGCTGAGCAGCACGTAGATGGCGTTGCGGAAGCGGTGCGGGCGCTGCGGCTGCAGGAGGCCGTGCAGCTCGTCCAGCAGTGCGGGCGGCAGCAGCTCGGCCTCGTCCAGCACCAGGAGCGGCGTCTTCTCGGCGGCCTCGGCCCGCGCCACCACGTCGGACACGCGGCGGGCCAGGTCCCGGCGGCAGCGCGGCGCGGCGCGCGGCTCGGGGCAGTGGTGGCGCGCGTGGTACAGCAGGACGGGCGCCCCGCCGGGCACGGCGCGGAAGTGGCGCGCCAGCAGGCGGCCCGCCAGGCTCTTGCCCACGCCGCGGGGCCCGAGCACCGCCAGCAGGAGCGGGCGGCCGTGCGCGTGCGTGGCCAGGTAGTCCCGCAGCAGCGCCACGACGCGGCTCACGGCGGCCGGCTGGCCGAACACGGCGCCCCGCAGCGCTTTCTCCAGCCCGTCCAGGTCGTAGCGCAGCGCGTTGTCGTCCAGGTTCTCGATGGCGTTGAGCACCTGGAAGCCCACGATGGCCACCAGCAGCCACAGGCAGCGCTGTGCGCGGCTCCGGCGCTCGGCGCGCGGCCGGGGCTTGCGGGAGGCCTCGGGGTAGAGCACCAGGCGGCTGCGCCGGCGCCTCCTGCGCGGGGCCCGGGGAGGCGGCTCCGCCGGGCCGTCGAAGGTGAAGAACCGGGGCTCGGTGCGCGCAGCGCTGGGACCACAGCCCGGCCCGGCCGGCCCGGGCCCCTGGAGGCGCCGCTTGCGCAGGACGCGCACCCGGCGGCGCAGGCGGAGCACGGCGCGCACCGGCGCCAGCACGGCCGGGGCGCGGGCGCGGGGGGCCGCGGGCTCCGGGGCCGGCGGGGCGCGGTCCATGGCGCAGGAGCCCTCGGCGCGCAGATCCCGCCCTACGACAGCAAGAGGAGAAGCTCGGTCCCCGGACCCCGCCGCGGCCCTCCCGAACCTACGGGACCGCGCCCCGCGGGAGCGAGCGAGCCCCGCCTGCCCGGCCCGGCCCGGCCGACCAGGAAGCCCGGCCGCAATGCAAATCTTCCGGCCGGGCCCAGGGGAGGCGGCGGGGGAGGGGCGGGCGCGTTATCGGGCGGCCGCCGGCTTCCTGGAGCACGCGGCGGACCCCGGCCGAGGGCCCGGCCGCACCAGCGCCCGAGCCGGGGGCCGTCGGGGGCCGCCGCGTGGAGGCGGCGGGCGGCGTGTCCACGCGCTCGGGGCCCGGAGCTGGAGGTCCGCGGGAAGCAGTGCGCGCTGCCGGGGCCCCGCAGCCTCCACGCCCACCACGGGGCGGGGGCCCCCGCGGGACAGGGTGGGAAATGGGCAGAAAGGGGGCAGGAAAGGCCGGAGCCCGGGCGAGGAGGCTGGCCTCGAACCCGGGACCGGGCCACCCTACCTGCAGCTCCGCCGCGCTCGGGCGGCGCGCGGGGGTGAGGCGGGCGGGCCAGGGCCTCCCGCCGCCGAGGCGGGACGGCGGCCTCACCTGCAGGCCGCGGGAGCGGAGCGGAGCCAGCCCGGGAGTTTCCGCTTCGACGCAGAGGAAGTGAGTCAGGGGAGAGGCAGGGCGGGACGGGGGCCGGGCGGGGGCGGACGGAGGCCCAGTGGAGGAGGCCTGGCCGGTCAGCCCCAGCTCGCTGGCCGTGCGGCTCTGCCCGGACACCGGGTGAGGCCGGCCCCTGCGGCAGCCCTCCCCCAGCCTCTCCCCTTCCGTCAGCCTGCTGCTCTAGGACTGTTCTAGAGCTGGGGAGAGCCACTGGCAGGGACCTGAGGAGCAAGTTTAGAAAGAACTTTGGCCAAGATCTGAAAGACCGGCTTGGAGGCCTCAGACCCCCATAGCCCCCGGTGTGCTGGAAGTCACCCCAAACCCCTCATCTCCATTTTGGCCATGTGTTGCAGACCTTAACAGGACCTTGCCACAGGGCCCACTCTTTTTTATTTTTTGTCAGTCCTGGAGCCTAAACTCAGGGCCTGGGCGCTGTCCCTGAGCCTCTCTGTGCTCAAGGCTAGCACTCTACCACCTGAGTCACAGCACCACTTCGGGCTTTTTCTGTTAATGTGGTGCTGAGGAATCAAACCCAGGGCTTCCCAACCCAGGCCCACTCGTGAGCTGCTGGAGCAGAGCCACAGGGATCACTGCCACCAACCGGAGGAGTCCCTCACTGCCCAGTGGCCTCACCAAGCCGCTGGTCTCCTAGGGCCTAATCCTTTGCTGTGCTTGCACCTCGGCCCCACCCCCACCTCATCCCAAGCAAGCAGGAGCCAGAGGACACCAGCACCTTCCACCAGCCCTCCTCTGCAAGCATGGCCTCAGCTCAGCAGCGTGCCAGCTACCCCAGCCTTGTCTGGCTCCACCAGGTCATTCTCAATACCCTATCTCCACTCTCAAAACAAGCAGGCCCAGAACTGGGAGCACAAGTCTGCAATTCTAGCTACTCAGATAGCTGAAATCAGAGGACCTGAGCAAGCAAGCTAGTGAGCAAGCAAATCCACAGAGGAACGGTTAAAGGGGACAAAGGAGTTTCTTCAGTTGGCCTGCAACCCTGTCTTGGGTTACCTCAGAACTAGGAGCAGCTGCAACCTCCAAAGGGGCCTCCTTCCCACAAGCCTCTCGGATCTCTGCAGGCCACTCTGCTCCCCCCAGGCCTCTCCCATCTCCACAGACCTCTTAGCCCTGTGCGGGCCTCTCAGGCTGGCCCAGGCCTCCCAGACCTCACTGCAGGCCGGACCTCCCTGCCGCCTCCCGGGCACTGCTCCGCTCCCGGAGCCCTGCCACTGGCCATGTCTTATGGTGTTCCTTCCCCCTCCATCTCCTCCCTGCAATCCTCGGCTCTATATCCGGTGGCTCACAGGCAGGACTTCCTGCCCCTTAGGTTCTCACAGATGTGGTTCAAGACCAGCCCTGGCAGACAAATCAGGTAATTTTTTTTTTTTTGGGTCGGTTGTGGGGCTTGAACTCTGGGCCTGGGCGCTGTTCCTCCGCTCTTCAGCTCAAGGCTAGCACTCTACCACTTGATCCACAGCGCCACTTCTGATTTTCTGGTGGTTTATTGGAGATAAGAGTTTCATGGACCTTCCTGCCCGGGCTGGCTCTGAACCATGATTCTCAGATCTCAGCTCCTGAGTAGCTAGGATTACAGACGTGAGCCACCAGCACCAGGCTCAAGTGATTTTTTTAAATTAGTGTGTTTTATGTGGTACCAAGGAAGAACTTAGGGTCTCATGACTACTAGGCAAGCACTACCACTAAGCCACACTCCCAGGCCCTCCCCCAGGGAGGGCCTTTATCTCCAATCTACTAGCAAAATGCTTGAGGCATGGCTCAACTAGTAGAGCACCAGCCTTGAGCAAAAGAGCTAAGGAAGACAAGTGCTGACAGCTTACATCTGTAATCCTAACTACGCAGGAGGCTGAGATCTGAGTTCTCAAGTCAAAACCAATCTGTGCAGGAACATTTGTAAGATTTGAGCTCCAATTAACCACCAAAAAGCCAGAATTGGAGGCATGGTTCAAGTGGTGGAGTGGGCTGTGGGCAGAAAAAAAGCCAGAGTTAAAGCCCTGCCATATAGAAACAGAAGTGACAAGCATGCCAGTCCCTGCTGGTCCCACCTCTGCAGGGCGGCCCGTCTGTCTGTGCCTGTCGGGACCTCCTGTAAACCCTGCTGGCCTAGCTGCTGTCTGATGTGGTATGAGCAGCCCCAAGGACTTGTGTTGCGTCTGGTTCCCATTTGAGGTACTAAGAAGGCATACACCTAATCAGCCATAGGTCTAGACCTGGCGCTCTGGAGAGCACTGAGGACTCAGGCTGGGCCCCACGACCCAGCAGCAGCAGCTTTTCAGCGAGTGACAGCAGAGCACACAGCAGCAGACTCCTACTCATCTCTTTATTTACTTACTGTCCATCATGGGCTTGAACTCAGGGCCTGGGCGCTGTCTCCGCACTCTTCAGCTCAAGGCGAGCGCTCTACCACTTGAGCCACACCAACACTTCTGGATTTCTGGTGGTGATTTGGGAGTCTCAAGGGCACTTTCCTGCTCAGGCTGGCTTCAAACTGTGATCCTCAGATCTCAGCCTTCTGAGTAGCTAGGGTTACAGGCGTGAGCCACCAGTGCCCGGCTTGCCTACATAACTCTTGCCATGGGATGTCCTACGCCAACCCAAACCTCTGCCAGCAAAAAGGCTACTGCCAACTGTGCCCTGGGCCTGGGCATCTCACAGCTCACCCAGTATGGGGTGCTACTGGCCACAGGTACAGGAAGGCCCGTCCCCCCTCTCCTCGTGTCCCGTCTTCTGAGGGCTTCCAGAGCCCAGCTGCCCACTCTGGCCTGCTGCTGATGACTGCCAGGGCTGTGAAGGCCCAGGTCCCACAGACAGGCAGAGAGCTCCCACTCACACCCACCTCACCCCACTACCGACAGGCAGACTCTTGGGGCTGACCCTGCTCATCCTTGGCCCAAGCCCAGTGGGCCTCTCCTGAACTACTTGGGACAACGGAGCTACTGCCTGGCTGTGCAGTCTTCTCATTCACTGGAGTAACTCCAGCCTGGCCCTGCACTGGTCCTGGGCCCCTCCCAGGGCTTCATGTCTGCTAAAGGACTGAAAGGCTTGGTTTCTGGACCCAGAAACCAATAACTGGTCTGTCTGAGACCACCAAGCACCCTTTGAGGCCCAGAGGAGTCCCATCCTGGACATCAGCAGACTGGACCGCCCAGGGCTGGGGTGGCTGGATGAGGCCAGCAGTCCAGAGCTGTGGCTCACCGAAGCAGAAGCACCAACTCTCCAGGCCTGCACTGACCTCCAGAGCTGCCCAGCCTTAGAACAAGCACACACACAAGCACGTACACAAAGCGCGCAAACAACTCACCACAGACATACCAAAATTGCTTTTATTTACATGAAACAAACCTCTGGGTGCACCTGCTGTCCCTAACAAGGGTCCCAAGAGGTGCAGCCAGAGGCGGCGCTCCCTGTTGGGCATGCCAAGAGGAGGGGCCTGGCTCTGCCCTAGAGTTTTGGTCAGAAGCACCTGTGGCCTCTGTCCCTCCAGGCCTGTCCTCTTGGCCTCCATGGAGGAGAAGCACATGCCGCAGACTGCTTTGGCCAACATGGCCATCGCTTCCTCTGCCCCCCCAGCCTTGCAGGTCAGGTCGGATGGCCCTGTTCTCCCCCTTGGCTTGTTCCTAACTTCACCCCGTGCCCATTTCTGCCAGCGCTGTGAAAACCTCCGTGCGGGCATGCGTTAGCAAGCTTTCCACTAAAGGCTCAGCTGGGGGTCCCACTGCTCCCCAGAGGGTCCGCAGAGGACCAACTCCAGCAGGCCAAGCAGCACAGGGAGCACCCTGCCCCCAACCACCCTCGCTCCTCCGTACCCAGACCTGACACACCAGGGCCTCCTCCCAGACGGGCCCACGAGCAAGCAGCCAACAAAGCCTCAGAGGGCGGCCGTGGTGGGCACACTGGGGAGTGGCAGCTCCAGCGCGGGCGTCTCTGTGGCCTGGGCAGGGCTGGGTCTCCGCTGGTCCAGCTGCTCCAGCTTCTCACCAAGCTGGGAGTAGAGCTCCTTCACAGCCTCCCCGCTCTGCCGGCAAATCACCCACGAGCAGCGCGTGAGCACTCGGGCACAGGGCGCACTCTCAGAGGCAAGGCCAGACTCTGAGCGAGAGGCAACACGCGCACAGACACCTGCCAGGCACCCGCACGGGGCGGGGGCACCTACCTGGCCTGTGGGTTCCAGGGCCTTCTGCAAGGCCTCCATCTTGGCTGGGGCCACCCTGGGGTGCAAGTGGAGGAGGAGGCGCAGGGCATGCCGGTGCACGTTCTCCTTCCTGAAAGGCAGGCTGGTGTGGAGGAGCCAGGGGCTGCAGGCCCTGGTCTGCCACCCTTCTGCTGCTGCTGACGGGGCACAGGCAGTGCTCACACCCTTGCTCTGAAGAACT